TGGCTGATACCCTGAGCTTCTCATGCCGCGGCCGTGCATGCAGTGCTCAGCTCGTCTATGTTGGTCCTCTTGTTCGTCATCCGCGTGCCTGCGAGGAACCGTAGTCGTGCGTATCTATAGGAATTCAACTCGTGTAGCTTAGCCTTCTCCGTGATGTCTTGCCGCTTGAATATTGTTTTGCGCAGTTGTGATGTCGCCTCCTTTTATGTGAGGATACGTGCAAAAACATATTGAGTCAGGTCGTTGCGGTCGTTTACGATGTCGCCAAGTAGTTGAAGCGATCGGGTTGTCGATATGGTCACGCCGCGCTCGGGACATCAGGTGTAACGGCGTATATCATGAAGTGAGACCTGTTAGCGGTGATCGGCAGCCCTGGCGACATAGACGCACGGATAAGATGCCCCCCGCATCGTTTCGACCGCGCTGCTGACGTCGCTGCCTTCGCTGATCAGCGCCATCGCCTTGACGTCGACGACGGATGATGCAGGCGCCATCTCTTTCTCGTCGCTGTTGTCCTGAGCTATGCGGGTGCTACAGTCGGGCCCCATTGGACAGGGCGCGCGAGAGGACGCAAGACCCTTCCGGGGGCCACATTGCCAGAGGAATGCAGGAGGCACGGGTCGCGAGACACAGGGCACAAGGGCACCCGTGATTTGGCAGGGTCGACCTACTAATCTGGGCCGGCTGCAGCAAGAATGCGGGCCGCGGCGCGGTCGCGCAATGCTCTCGCGTGGTAACCCTGCATGACGTCGGACGTCAGCGCGTTGAAGGTGATGTCTGCTGGTGGCACCCCTGGTCGGGAGCCAACTCTTGGCGCCGCGATATCGGCCTCTTCTTCGGCAAAGAACCACGTGCTATGATGAGCTGCGGTAAGCACAGCAACTATGCGTTCGTTGTCCACGAGCTTGTTGACGATGGCGTGGTCCTGCATTAGCTGGATTATAGCTGGCCGCGCGTAGCTAGGTGCACCCGCGCGGGGGGCAAGGTCATCGATGTCCGCGACGTTGACGCTCATACAATATATTGAATGTGTAGCGGCTTTTTGGAATGCAGCCCTCGAATCGATTATCACAAGGGCGACGCTCTCCCTGATTTCGGCGGTCTATCAAGCGGCTGTGGTCGGCGCTGTAACGTCGTCGGCCGCCGGCGAGCGTGCTGAAATAGATTCCCGGCATGGGGTCTGTCACGCGTTGCCTCATATAGCGGTAGTGGTGCTTGATGACGGCGTCGGCCAGCGACGCGCGCCTGTGCTGTCGTAGATGAGCGCGACGCGGCGTCGCAGCTGCGCTGCGAGAGTCGAAGTTGCCGGGCGTAGCCGGCGCTCGTTATTCTGGCATCGCGGCGCGGGCGCCCCCCTGGGCCTGTCGCCCGCGGGGGAGCCCCGTCGCCCTCAGTTGTTTGGTCTCGGGCACCCCGGCGCCCCGTCGTGTCCGATGAAGCCGGGGCGCCAATCGCGAAGGCCTTCGAATCCGTCGCCGTGGTCGCCTATTCCCACCTTCTCGGGCTTCTCTGAAGCGCTCGCGCAAGGCCGATCAGCATTCCCCAGGACCACGCGCAAGGGCGGCGCCGATCTCGCCCTTCCGGGCGTCTCGAGATGCGATCGTGGCGGCGGCGATGCTGATTGGAATGCTTGGGTGGGAGTGAAGTCGGAAATTGGTTGTCGAGCTGGCTCTCTCGGTTGTTCGTCGTCTGCGTCGTCGCCGAGGTCGCTGGGGATGGCGGTGGTCGGAGCTGGCGCCTGGCAGTTGTGCTCGTCGGTGATCGTCTCGGGGAGGGGCTGACGCGGCCCTGGCATCATGGAATGCTGCGCGTTCGGCGGAGATGGCGGGCGGACTCGCTCTGAGGCGTGGGGTGGGCGGTGGTGTCCTCGTCGGGTCGTCGGCTGTCAGGTCAGGGTCGCGTTGGGCGTCGGGCATCGACGTGATGGGGCCCGCTCTTGCTGCTGCATCGTGCCCGTCGTCTCCGCTCCCCGCAGTGGTTGGTTGGGGGCGTTGAACGCGGCGATAATGCAGCTGGTCTTGGTCGAGGTGGTGGAGTGCGATTGTCGGGGGTAGAGCCGATTCCTTGCGACGTAGGGCCGCTGTCGGTGGCCCCTGCAATTTCGACTGGCCCTGTAAGCTCGGCGATGTAGACGTCGAGGTCAGGTCGGATGCACTCGTATTGCCCTGGCACGAGGGCATAAACATTGGCCGGCCATCATTTGGATCCTGTCTTCTGCCGCGTCGGCCATGTGCTGATTCCTCTTTTCGTCGTCGCGTTGTTCCTGCAGCTGCCGCGCGAGCTCTACCATGACGTCGTTGTCGATCTCGTCGTGCATGTCGCGTGTTTCTGGAGCTGGCGCTCGTGTCGTTCGTTGGTCGGCGTCGCTTGGAGCTCGGCATGGATGGCGTTCTTGGAAATGCAGATGCGGATGTTGTGCGCATTCTTGAGCGCGTTTCGTCTCGCAGTGCTTCCACTGCTCTATCGCTTAGTTTTGCTGCCGTTGTCTGTGGCTGAACTTCGCTTGCACATCGCCGCGCAGGACTGGCATATGCCCCCTGATATGGGCGTGCTTGTCGGATCTGATGTTGATCCTCTTCTTTCCCAAGTCGTAGTGCATCTCAAAACTCATGCCCCGCAACCGGGCGTCCCGCTGCTTGATCTTCTTGTTGATGCACTCTTGCAAATGCCGCCTTTCAGCTGCTAGCGCTTCGCGGACGCGGGTCTCTCCGTCGCTGCGCTGCTGGGCAAGTTCATGTAGAATGTGCTGGGTCTGCGGCTGCATTTGTTGCTCCTGCTGGCGCACTTGTTCTTGCATCTGGTTTTGTAGCTGTAGCGGTTCTTGGCGAAGGTCGATCTCCAGCCTTGTAGCAACCGCTTTGGCACCTGTTTTCGATGAGCAGGTTCATAGGATTTAACATCTCTTGAGCCTCCCCTTTATTATGTTGTTCGGTGGCTGCCTTCGTTTTGCAATCGTGCATCATGGCCTCCGTCTCCTCTGCATTTGTTCGCGACAGCTCTTTGGATCCCAGCTTCCCATAGGTTGATGTCAGCGAGGGCCGCCTCGGTCTCTTCCAGGTGCACATTGGCTTCAGCTTTCTGCAGCTTCGCCTATGACTGGTAGTGCTCTCCCTGCTTCAGCAGCGCTTTCTCGGGGTTGTTTTTCTGGCTGGCCTTCATCTGCTTGCACTCCTGCTTGGTGCACTTGAATTTCTCTCTTTCCTGTGCCATTCACGTTCGGTCGTTCCTTTCTCTTTGCTCGTGAGCTTCTCTTTGTCTTGCTGTTTTTGTCGTTTTGCTCTCTCTCTCTCTCTCTTTCTCTTTTTTTCTCTCTCTCTCTCTCTCTCTCTCTCTCTCTCTCTCTCTTTCTCGATGAAGAACAGCGAGGTGGTGCTGGTGATCCCCCCCTGATGCGTTCGATGTTCATCGGGTCGAATGTTGAGTTCCGCGAGCATATTGTCTAAGCACAGCTGGTTGCCCGCGTTGCTGGACGAGGTTCTCCTGCGTGTCGGATATGGCGTTCTCCCTCTTGTAGCCTTATGTGTTTCCTCCTCGCCCTCGTCCCCCGCGGTCTCATCGTCCCCGTCGCAGCTCGGGCCCTCCAAGATCTCCTTCAAGCCTCTCGACTACTTTACCTCCTGGACGAAGGTCTTGCGCGCCCTCGAGATTCCGTCAATGCTTTTCTCTTCCTTGTTCCATTCGGTAAGTATTTGGTTGGTTCTCTTCCTTCTGGAAGGTAGTTCGTCGACTCGTTGCTGGACTGCGCGCATGCGTTGGCACGGTTCCTTCATCATGTTGGTCATACACTTCGTGCTGGCCATATCGTTTTGGAACGTGCCGTGCACTACCTTCGCCCGGATCGCGCCAGTGACTTGGTCTGCCATGTCTTGCCAAACGCGTCCCCTTCGTCGTCGTCTGCCATATTTGGCGAATTTCGGGCTCATTGGGAGGGTGGTTGAAACTCTCGTGTTTTTTGGCTGCCTCGATGGAGCATGGCAACATGTCGTCTAGAACCCCAGTTTGCCGCTTGGAGAAAGTGTGCTTCTGGGTGTAAGCGCCCTCCGCGTTGTGTATCTTCTCGCTCTTTTCGTGGTTGGTCTTCTGCGGTGCGCGCCCCTTCCAAGCTCACTTCCATCTTGAATTCCAGGCAAGTGTTGTTGCCTTGCTGTCCTTTTCCAACTGTGGCTATGGTCGTCATACTGTTGGTGCTGTTGCGAATGGTGCTGCTGCTTGCCGTCGTGCTGCCACGGCCAAAGCTGTCCTCCGAAAGGAGGTATCATTCTTTTTATTTTCCTTACTCCTATTATTATTATGATTATTATTGTTATGATTCGTATAACATAGTACTAGTACCATTGTTATTACTATTATTCCCGCGGGCGCGGACCCTTCGGACCTCCAAGGGGCTGTCCGCTCGGACCCTTCGGCCACCCTGGGTCTGTCCGCCTTTCCGTGTATCTGCTCGCCATCTCGTCGGAGGTGTGCTGCTGCGCCGAATGGTGTTGTCCCAGTCGGCAAGCTTCAGCGGCGAGTCGAACCAGAAGCCGATCCTGGCTTCTCACCTGGCGGGCGCGGCGGTGCCAGGCTGGTTCTCCTTCTCGGGGCGTGGAGGCTCATGCCGCCGCGGCTGCGGCGCCAATGGCCCGCTGCGCGCGAGCCCAGGCCGACCGGGGCGACCGATGAAGGCGACGACGCCCCTGCCCCTCCTCGGCCAATACCTTCCCTCCTCCTCCTCCTCCTCCTCCTCCTCCTCCTCCTCCTCCTCCTCCGAATCATCATCATCATCATCATCATCATCATCATCATCATCATCATCATCATCATCATCATCATCACCATCATCATCATCATCATCATCATCATCATCATCACCATCATCACCATCATCATCATCGTCATCATCATCACCACCATCATCATCGTCATCATCGTCATCATCATCATAATTATCATCCTTATCCTCATCCTCATCCTTATCCTCATCCTCATCATCCGTCTCCCTCTCCGCGAGGGCGCGGCGC